CTGAAGGTTAGTTTTTAAAAAATGCATATTTTGGACTTCCCTGGTGGCGCAGTGGTTAAGAATCCACCTGCCAATGCAGGGGACACGGGTTCGATCCCTGGTCTGGGAAGATCCGACATGCTGCGGAGCAGCTAAGCCCTTGCGCCACAACTACTGAGCTTGCACTCTAGAGCCCGCGAGCCACAGCTACTGAAGCCCACGTGCCCTAGAGCCCGTGCTCCACAAGAGAAGCCACTACAATGAGAAGCCCCGCGTGCCACAATGAAGAGTAGCCCTGGCTCGCCGCAACTAGAAAAAGCCCACACGCAGCAACGAAGACCCAATGCAGCCATAAATAAATAAATAAATAATTTTTAAAATAAAAATGCATATTTAAATAAGTAATATATATGCACATGGCAAAACATTCAAATTGTACATAAGGGGATGCCGAGTGCCAGTTCTCCTCAGAGGTCCCCACCCTGACTGGTTTCTTGTGTGTTTGCTGAGATGTTCTGTGCACACAGGAGCATGTGGATTGTGTGTGTGTGCGTGTGTCCCTGCACAGACTAGATCTGATATCCCGCCCCTGCTTCAGCCACTTAGCCATCCTGTGGCTCACTCTGCATCAGCACCTGCAAATCTATTTCCACCTCATGCTCTTCAAAAGTTACAAAGTCTGGATGTTCTTTCTTTCTTTCTTTTTTTTTTTTCTTTTTCACCGCGCCATGCAGCTTGTGGGATCTTAGTTCCCTGACCAGGGATCGAACCCACGCCCTCGACAATGAGAGCGAGGTGTACTAACCCCTGGACCACCAGGGAATTCCCTGGATGTTATTTCTGATGTTCGTAGCTTCCCAGCATAGCGTATGTGTGTCTTGGGGTGGGCAAGGTGGGGGGCAGATGACCCTTATGCCCATTTTACAGATGAGGCAGCTGAGGCTGAAGGGAGATTCCTTGTCCCATGTCAAGTAGGTGGCCGAGTTGAGATTTGAGCTCAGGTCTCCAGGTTGCTATAATCTGGGCCTTGTCCTTGGCCTCCTGGGAAGTTAGGGACAAGGTCCCTCCCAGCCACACGCCTACTGAATGGCAGCAGCTGCCACCAGGGCCAGCTCCCCTGACCCTCTGGGTTTCCTTCCTTTCTCCCAGCAATGATGTCAGGCGAACCCCTGCACGTGAAGACCCCCGTCCGTGACAGCATGACCCTGTCCAAAGTGGCTGGTACCACCGTCTATCTCAAGATAGACAGTGCCCAGCCCTCCGGCTCCTTCAAAATCCGGGGCATCGGACACTTCTGCAAGACGGTACAGCACGGGCTCTGCATCATCCGGGAGAGTGCAGCAGGTCCTCTTTCTGGACAGGCCAGGGCCAGTGCCGTGTGAAATCCTAGAAGCTACAGGCTAGGCCCTGCAACTTCCCCGCAAGGCCTGAGCACCCACCATTAACGCCTCCTCTGGTTCAGGGGTGCCAGTGCAGAGGGTCCCCTTGTGGACTGATCCCAGAGCCATCAGTGGCCTGACTCTCCCTCACCCTTCCCTGAGCCAGTCTCTTTGGGGAGGGAAGATGTACGGCCTGATCCCCTCCCTCTTTGTCTCTACAGTGGGCTGAGCGAGGCTGTGAACACTTTGTCTGTTCCTCGGGTAAGTGGCCTGCACGCCTCCTCCTGTCCTCTGCTGTGTGTCCTGGGGCCAGGGGCTCCACCTCTCTGGGCCCTGCAAACATCTGCAGAAGTCCCAATTTAGAATTCCAGCTGGAGGCCAGCAGCCACCCAGGGAGGGTTCAGAGCCTGGAGGTCAGGGAGTCCCACTAACACTTTCCACCCCCCACCCCTGGCAGCAGGCAACGCAGGCATGGCAGCTGCCTATGCGGCCAGGAAGCTGGGCATTCCCGCCACGATTGTCGTGCCCAGCACCACGCCCGCCCTCACCATCCAGCGGCTCAAGAATGAGGGCGCCATGGTCAAGGTGGTGGGTGAGGTGAGTGCCAACCTGGGGCAGGGGCCACGGAGGGCACCTGGTAGCAGGGCCAGGTCCCCCAGCCCCTCACCCCTCCCGCCTCCTCTGTGATCTTGCAGACATTGGATGAGGCTGTCAAGGTGGCCAAGGCCCTGACGAAAAACAACTCAGGCTGGATCTACGTCCCTCCCTTCGATGACCCCCTCATCTGGTACGTGGAGCCCAGGGTCACCCGGGGTGGGTAGTGACCACCCCACCACCCCACCGAGTAGACACCTGCCATGATGCACACCATCACACACAGCGGTGTACACGTGTGTGCACATCACCATGTAGAAGCACACGCACAGGCGTGGCAGCTGGTGCCCACACACACGTGCACCAATGCCCATTCTCCTTGACCGTGAGCAAACACATGGGCTCAGATACACAGGTGTGTGCGATCGGGTCCCCCAGAATCAGACCCCGAGACAAAGATTTCAGGGAAAGCAGTTGACTTGGGAGGTGACTCATTAGAGGAGTGAGGAGGGAAGCCAATAAAAAGCACTGATGGGCCAGTGACCACTGTGGGCAGCTGGCGCTCAGTCCCTCGGGGGCCCCTGGAAGCCAGTGTGGAACATGAACCAGAGTTACCACACCTGCAGAAGATGATGCTGGGGCGTCTGTGCATCGACTCCCGTAATTCTTAATTCCCATAGTTGGTTGAGGGCTGCTCTCAGGGGGTTTCGTCTCCTGGCACCGCCAGCTGCCACAGTCATAGTGCTCCAGTGGTCAGAGAAAGCCCTCAGGTAGAGATGCAGTTTCTGCCAGCTGGAAATCAGGGCAGAGTCGGGGACGAGGTGACCAGCCCCGAGGCCCATTAGCCGCCTGGGATGAGGGCAAATACAGAGGGTAAGTGGCATCTTCAGGGCTGCCTGGGGTCTCCAGGAAGCCCAGCCCTGACCTGCCACCCCCCTCCTCCAGGGAAGGCCACTCTTCTATCGTGAAGGAGCTGAAGGAGACGATGAGCGCAAAGCCGGGGGCCATCGTGCTGGCGGTGGGGGGTGGAGGGCTGTTGTGCGGAGTGGCCCAGGGGCTGGTGGAGGTGGGCTGGGGAGACGTGCCCATCATCACCATGGAGACCATCGGAGCCAACAGCTTCCACGCTTCCACCAAGGCCGGCAAACTTGTCACCCTGCCCCAGATCACCAGGTAAGTAGGCAGGGGTGCTGCCACTATGTTCCATGAGCGTTGGGGAGCTCCCCCCTCGGTGCTGGCTGTGAGGCAGATCCCGATGCCAGTCCCATTTTATAGGTGAAGAAACTGAGGCTTTGGTCACTTGCCCAGAGTCACACAGCCAGTGAGTGGTACGGCTGGGACCAAACCCAAGTCTGTGTGACTCTGTACCATGAACATCACACTTCCTTGCATGAAAAGTCTAAGATTAATCACTTATTGGGTTCCTCTGTGGCAGGGTTTTACACACCTCACTAATTTACCAACCATTTACTGAGCCCCTAATATGTGCAAGACACTGGCTGATCCTGGGGAGACAGTGGTGAATAAACACAGCTCCTGGTCCCAAGGAGTTCTTATCCAAGCCCCAGACTTTTGACAGATGGTGTTTGATTAGGATTAGGTTTGGCCGCATTATACAGGAGCCCAAAATAACAATGGCTTAAACAAAATTGAACTTTATCTCCTCTCATATATAAAAAAAATCTGGAGGTAGGCAGTCCAGGGGCAACTCCACGAAGCCAGGGGCCCAGGATCCTTGAGTTTGTTCTCCATAATCCTTATCATGTAGACTTATGGCCCAAAATAGCTGCTTAAGTGCCAGCTATCACACCCATACTCCATCTAGCAGGAAGAAGTCAGGGCAGAAGCTATGCCCCCTCCCTTTAAAGACACGATACTTCCATTTACCTCTCATTGGCCAGAAGGTAGTCACATGGTCTGCCTCCCTCCTCTCTCCTATCTCTTCCCCCGCTTCTCCATCCTTGCCTCTCCCAGTGTTGCCAAAGCCCTGGGCGTGACCACTGTGACAGCACAGGCTATGAAGGTGTTTCAGGAACACCCCATTTTCTCTGAAGTTGTCTCGGACCAGGAGGCTGTGGCCGCTGTTGAGAAGTTTGTGGGTATGTGCCAAGTCCTTTCAAGACCCGACCTGCTGATTCGGGACCTAAGTGGCTGTCCACTGGGCGTGCCAAGGGATCCCATTCACAGTTCTGTCTCCCGTCCCTCCCTGGAATTTCCCATTAATGGAAGTTAATGCAATGCGGTGGTAAAAATAGAAAGACCAGAGGGACAAATGAAGAAGTAAGTCTGATAACATAACAGCAAGGAAAAATAACGAAGTATTTAAAATGTTGGCTCTGAGTTTCCTGGTAGCCAGGGTAACAAAGGAAACTATGGGCCTCAGTGTTGGATTCAGAGGTGGGTCTGTAACTAAGTTGGACTCTTACCGGGTTCATCCTGGGACAGGGATGACAAACATACACACACACACACACACACTTAAGCTGCCACTTAATTCTCCTATACTCACAGTTAGTTTGGCTAATCAACCCTGGCATTCTTGCTCAGATGATTCCTCAGAATCCTCAACACGGTGCTCAGGAAATTACAATCATCTTTTCAGTGTTAGCACTGATGATGAAACTCAGCCCTGGCTCAGACCTTGGAAGTTCAGTGTAGGGTAATGATGGCAGGTGGGGTTGGTCCTGGACCAGAGTCTGTGCCCAGGGCTGAGAGCTGAGTGGCTTATGCTTTACCAGTGGCCCGACTGTTCCCTTGCACCCTGCGGAACTCTGGCTCTACCCTCACCATCCCCCTCCTCTGGCAGATGAGGAGAAGATCCTGGTGGAGCCCGCCTGTGGGGCAGCCCTGGCCGCCATCTACAGCAACGTGGTTCAGAAGCTGCAAGGAGAGGGGAAGCTCTGTACCCCACTGTCCTCCCTCGTGGTCATCGTTTGTGGGGGCAGCAACATTAGCCTGGCCCAGCTGCCGGAGCTCAAGAAACAGCTGGGCATGAAGAGCGGGCTGCCCCAGTGAGGACGCCTCCCCTACCCGGGAGACCCCTGGAAGGGCTGGAGTTTTATCCAGTGACTTGTGAAATATTATTCTCGTGTCTGTTGGGAGCCTGTGGCCCGGGCCAGCCGGTAACCTCATTCTCATGAGAACACTGTGCAGAAGGCCCGGAAGGGAAGCAGCTAGCAAGGCTGTGAACTGCCCTCTTTGGTATCTGTGTGACTGCTCTGTGGTTTCTCCCCGCCCCCCACTCTTATCCACCCCTGCTAGGGTGACAACTGCCCACGTGGGATAGACCAGGTACCCAGAGAGGGTGGGCAGGAGGGACAGGAACCACAGCAGCGGGGCCTCCTCAAGATGAGATGTCCCCTGATGCAGACGCCCCAGCATCATCTTCTGCAGCTGTGGTAACCTCTCCCTGGGAAGGTGGACAGGGCCACAGTCCAGGGTGGAAGAACCATCTTGTCTCTCCTCCCAGAAAGCCCAAAGTCCATCCTTACTCACTTTTCTAATGTGCAAACTTTCATTGAAGAAGAAAAGCATTATTTATTGAAATGAAGCTCCTTTGAGTTTTTCCAACATGGCTGTCTTCCTCCCTCCCTCCCTCCCACCCCACCATGCCTGCTGTCACCCCCAGCTCTCAACACTGAGCACCATTACATCCTCCACCCCACCCCCACCCCTGGGAACCCCGGGCTCCCACTTGGAGGCCAGGATCCCAACTCCCGCTGGGCTTGTGTGCCGGGAGGGGGCATCCCTGCATGGCAGGGAGCAGGTGAGGGGGAGCTGTGCTGAACACCAGGGGTTTGGGATGGGATGCGGGCCTCCAGTGGAGGCAGAAGAGTCCAACCTCATTCTGTTCAGAAGTCCTTCCTGATAACAGAATGATTTTATCACAGAACCACTGGGAGCGGAGTAGTGAGCCCCCCATTCGTGGGGGTTTGTAAACTGACACTGGACACCCATGTCTGGTCAACGTCAAGCAAACCCTCTCAAACACAAACCCTCTCTTCCAAGGACAGCACATTACTGAAGCCAGCCTATAAACGGACAGAAGAGGAACTGCCGGGGCTGCCTGGAGGTCCTGAAGGGAGTCCCGCATAGCCACTCAGGAACACCCCTGCACTACCTATAGCAGCCCCTGGGACACTAGTGGACCCCCAAGTCCAAAGTGAAGTTTGAGAACCAACCTAACCCTTTGGGATACCACACAGATCCACATGGGCTTGCATGCCTTGACAAAGAGCAGGTGCTGTGAAATTTCAGGGAAAACCCATCCCAGCGACAGGCCTACATGCCGATTTCCAGCCAGAAGGGACAGCACATGTACTTTAAAAACCCAGGAGAGAGGACAGCAGGAAAGGGCAGGCAGGGATGGGAAATCATCAGCCCCAGTAGTCTCCAGCTTCCACTGTCCCGCCTGAATCAGGTACAAAACCCCCAAAGAAGGGAGGCAGACATCTCTGCCCACTAAAGGAGGAGCCGCTGTGGGCCAGGGTCAACCAGCTGGCCAGACCCTTGTCCTGCAGGGGAGGGCAGAAGTCACAGATGAGCCTGCGGCTGCCATCTTGAAGCTGAAGATTGTGGGAAACCCCCAGGGCAACGGTGCTGAGGGAAACTGCCTTTCAGGCTGCCCCTGCGAAGGTGGGTTCTGCCTTTACTGGATCAGCTGAAGCTCAGTGGGGGACCATCTGCATGGCCCCGCATTCTCTGTTCAGTCACCTTAGCTTCACGCCTACCCTTAACTCCTGAAAAGCCGCAAGAGGGACCAGAGTCGTTCTAGGGAATAGACAAGGGTTGCCCCTTCCTAGAGAGTGGCCCTGTTTGAGTTCCGCCAGCCTGAGCCACTGACTGTATCTGCCAAGTGGGCCTCATAAAAGCCTCAGCCTCAGGAGTGGCTGGGAAGATCCAGTGGCCGGCGCACGGTGGTGGGGGGTGGTGACCTTTGTCCTGCTGGGGCCTGCGCCATCACAAGGAGGTGGGGAGGGAGAGCTGTGTCCTGTGGGAGAGTCTGCAGACCTGCGCCCCCGTCCTAGTTCTGAAGGGCCCAAGACTTGAGATTTCAGGCACGTCACTTCCCTTCTCCAAGTCTGCATCCTCACATGTGAACATCCCGGCCTACCCCGCCTAACAGGGCTGTTGTGAGCTCAAGAGACCTGGGAAAGACAACACTCTTAAGGGAGCTGGGAAATGTACCGGCAGAAAAGTTACTTTTTAGAACCACAAGTTGTCAATTCCCAGATAACAAGAATTGTAAAGCTATGGTGAGAAACAGCAAACTTCCCTGGCGGTCCAGTGGTTAGGGCTCCGTGCTTCCACTGCAGGGGGCACAGGTTAGATCCCTGGTCAGGGAACGAAGATCCCACAAGCCACACAGCGAGGCCAAAAAAAAAAAAAGAAATAGCAAACCCATCCCCGGCCCTCAACTGCGCTTTACTTTCTCCAGAGCACTTACCAGCATCTTACACGCTGTATGTCTATTTTCACTATCTACCTCCCCAATGTAAATGTCACAAGAGCAGGGATTTTTTGGGGGGGGGGAATACCTGTTGTTGTGAGGTATCTCCAGGACCTTATAACAGTGCCTGGAATGTTCTAAGCATTCTATAAATTCTCGCTAATGAATGAACGTTGCGTGTGTGAGGCCCCGTGTGGGCTACGTCACAGCCACCTTTGCAGCAAATCCTCACCCTCCTCCCACCAAACGTGCAGACACACGCGTGGGAAAATGCTGCTCACGTGGTTATATCTATTTTACAGATGAGGTGACCGAGGCTCAGAGAGGTTAAGTCCCATAACTAGTAGGAGGTGGAGACAGGATTCGAACCCAGGCCTCGGACTCCCGGGTTGTGTGCTTTCCTCTCCCGAAGCACATCGCATTGTGCGAGTCTCCACTGTAGGCTTTGGGTAAGATCAGGTGGGGAGGGACTCTGTGTTGTGTTGATCTGTCCCCGCCCCACCAGTAGGATTTGGGAAGGTCTTGGTGGTTAAGAGAGCCCTAGAACAGGACCCAGAACAAAGTAGGTGTTCAATAAACACATGGATAGACGGATGCTGGGATAGATATGGATGGATGGATGAATGGGTAGATGGGTCAGTATCTGGATGACGGATGGACGGATGGAAGATTGGAAAATGGAAGGATAGATGGATGGATGACTGCAGATGGACAAGGGGTGGGTGGGTTGGCAGGTGAATGAAGGTATAGATGGACAGACAGAAGGATGGACAGGAGGATGCATAGGTGAATGGTCAGAACCCAAACCTGAGAAGAGAGAGGGCGCCAACCCAGCCTGCCCCACTGCCCCAAGAAGCACAGCACGGGGGCCATGGCCTCTCTTTTTAATGGCAGCACAGCCTGCAATTTGGTTCCTGTAGCAGGGGACCTGTGGGCAATGCCCTGAGGCCAGGGGCAGGCCTGGGTTTGAGGGGGCACGGGCCGAGGCTGGAGCAGGGGGCTGACACTCCTGCCTGCCCCCAGAGAGAGAAGGACACTCAGGCCCTTCCACCCACAAGTGGCCAGAAACTTTGGTTCTTGTTTGGTTTCAAGTTCCTGTCCTCAAGGGGGCTGTCCAGGAGGAGAAACAGGGGAGCTACTTCCCAGACGGAGCAGAGTGGGGCTGGGGTCGGGAGCTGGGAGGAGAGATGCCAACCAGAGGCAACGCCTGGGTCTCAGGGGCTGGAGCTCCAGAGCCGCCGTTAGAAACAGCACTGGGAAGCAGGCACTGGAACAGGCCTCTCCTGCCGGCCCCACTAGGGGCCCCGGAACCTGGTCCCAGGATCCGGCTCCCGCCCTCAGGAAGGGGCGGCATGAGGAGGGGGCCCAAGGCTGGAAAAGAGTGAAAAGCAGGGGGAGAGAGAGAGACGCAGAGAGGCAGAGGGAGACGGGGATGGCATCACCCACTTAGGGGGACAGAGTCAGTCCTGGGTCCCATCGGGTTCCGTTCCCCACCCAGGAGGCCACCCAGACGAGAGTGAACCTGGCCGACCCAGGTCCCCAACCTGGGCACAGTGGCAACGCTCACACGGGGGACCGGGGCGGGGGGCCAGGCAGGAGGGCAGGGTGGCAGCCAGTCGGGTGGCCCTGCTGGGGTCAGCAGAGTAGAGATGGAGCCTCAGTCCCACCAGACCTCGATGGGTGAGAACTTCCAGAGGTCGGGCTGGCCCATGTGCAGCAGGCTGCTGAAGGGCGAGCTGCTCCACTGGAACGGGGGCAGCTGGTCCCACGTGGGGCCGCTGACCGCCAGGAGACGCAAGGCCTTGGCCAGTGCCGTGCTGGTCACCTGGGGGTAGAGGGGAGGGCAGGTCGTTGAGTTGTCCCAACCTGGGAGTCTCTGCTGCTCCCTGCCCCAACTTGGACCCCATCCACAGCCCCAGGCCCGGCACCTTCACGTCGATGCCCCCATGCGAGCGCTGGTGCAGGGCCTGGAAGGGGTAGGAGCCATTGGCTGGGTTGAGGTCAGAGCGGGCCGAGACGGCATTCTCCCCGTTGGGCTTGGGGTTGCAAACTTTGCACAATGACAGGGGGTCATGCAGGAAGTCGTTGTACCTGGATGTGGAAAGAGAGGAAACCTCAGTCGTGCGGGGAGCGGGGGAGGCCAGACTGCTAGTGGCAGCCCCTAACCCAGCCGCCTGCTTTCAGTGTGCTCAGCTCCCTCCCACCGCCTGGGCTTCAGCCACCACCTCCCCCTTCAGCTGGTCACTCCACAGGTATCACTCAGCCTCGGCTCTGCCATCCCTCCCTCCGGGAATCCCTCTGGGCCCCCATCCCAGGCCAGGCTAGAGGCCCCGTTTTGTCCCTTCATAGCATTTCCTGGAGCTCAGACGGTTCTCGTTACACGTCCACATCAGTGTGAGTACGGGAGGGATTTCTGCATCCCCCAAAGGACAGGGTGCTCCCCAAGGACAGTGGGGACACGTTCTGTGCCCGTTTCCCAGTCCCAAGCGCGGAGCCCGGCACAGGGCGGTCACTCCACGGCTGTCCGTCATCCTCACCCACGACATGAGGGCGGCAGCAGGGCTCAGCTGAGCGCTGCCCCGGTTCTGCCGTCTTGGCTGCTACACAGTTGCACCCCACCCCTGCCGCCCCCCCGGGCTTGGCGGGAACTTGAAATGAGTTACGACAAAGCCCCACCACGTGACTCTGGGCTCATGGTCCCCCATGTACCTCATAAGCCGGATCATGGAATTCAGGTCGTGTACCAGGGACTGGTTCCGCCGGAAGATCTGGGCCCGGGGGCTCCCGTCGTAGGAGAACCAGTCCCCAAAGTGGGCCACCAGGGCCGGAAGCCCACTGGCATTGAACACAGACTCAAAGGACCTGCTGGGAACGAGGATGGTCACTCACGACCTCCACTGACTTCACCTGGCCGTGACCGTGGCCAGGGAGGGGAAGGGGGCGGTCGTGCCACGACATTAACACCAACAACCACAACAGTCGGGATAGCAATAATCATGTCTTTTGTTTGTGCTGTGGGGTGGCTTGGTGGGGTGGCCAAGCTAGGGCTCTGGGGTCCAAGAGGCATGGGTTCAAATCCTGACTTCACCGTTGGCCACCTATGGAACCTTGGGCGAGTCAGGTACTTTCTCAAGGCCTCAGTTTCATCATCTGTGAAATGGGAATAGGAGCAGTGGCTACCACGCACCGTGGCTGTACGGATCAAAGGGGATGACCCAGGTAAAGCACAGTGAGGGTCAAGAGGTGCTGGCTGTGCAGCCCAGTTAAAGCAGCGCCAGCTGGAGAGCCACGGCAGGGGTCGGCACCTGAGCCAGGCCGCCCCCTACCACCCTGCGGTGGGTGGGTGCGGACTGGGAGGCCGAACGGATGCCGACCTCACAACTGTACCCTAAGACCGTCAGGGCTTTCCTGGAGAAAAAGGGGGAAGGGTGGGTTTCTTTGTGGAGTTAAAGAATCACCTGGGAAGCACCCCTCCCCAGCACGGAGAGCTGAGCCAAGGGTGGGGAATACCAGGAAGGGGGGACATACGGGATATTGTAGCTGGCCCAGTAGGTCTTCTGGTAGAGTTCCGAGGTCCTGTCAGCCACCACCACCATGCCCCTGCGACCGGGAAGGGACACGAGGCAGGAGTGGTGAGAAAGGGGGCTCCTGTGGGTGCTGCCCTGCTCAAGGACCCTCGCTGGCTCCCCATTGCCTGGAGCTAGTTTATGTCCCCAATCGTTAGCAATCAGGGGCTGCCTTCTCCTCCAGTATTGCCTTCCTGAGGTTTCCCCTCCCACACACGATTCAGCTGCCTCCAGGCCTCTGCCTTGGCAGTTCCCTCTGCTGGAACGCCCTGCCCCTTTCCGGGTACTCACGGGATCTGCTCCAGGATAGTAAGCACCCTTCTCCCAGGGCTGGGCCCGCCGGGGACAAATGCCTTGTAGTCCACGATCATCCACTGGTTGTTGTACCTGCCATGCCCAAGGAAGGAGGGCTGAACAGACCCTGGGGTCACCGCCCCGGCCTCCCCCTGCCCCCAGGGCCACACACAGTCAGGAATCATGGGGCCGGGGTGGTCTGGGCGCGTCCGGCCATCCGACCGTCACCCGGACACTTTAGCTTGACCAGGTGTCCTCAGGCTTTTCTCTCATCATGCTGCTCACCTGCTCCAGAGGAGTCTATGGCTCCCTAGTGCTTACTGGAACCAAGGTCAATTCTGCGCAATGTTCTAAGACCCTGCCCTATCCAGTTCCCGCGTCTCTGGCTCATGGGGCCCCCATCCACCCATGTCCATCTCCTCAGACGGCCCTCTCCACTGTCCCCAGAGCTCTCAAGTTCCAAGTGTCTTCCTGTCCTTCCTCTGGGAGCTTTTCCCTGGGTGGAGAAGCCTGCAAGAGGGGGGCAAATCCTTTCCTTCCCCGTGCCTGTTTCCCCACGTATAAAACAAGGACAGGACTCAGCAGAGGGTGTGGGGTGTGTGGCCCTCGTGCCACATCAGGTCTCCCAGGGTCTGAGCATTAGCGGGGAGGTTGGGTGGGACGGCCGCAGTTCCAGAAGCCCACTCACGTGCCACTATTGAACCTCTTGAAGATATCGGCCCAGGAGTCCCCATCCAAGGCCAGGCGATTGGCCACAACATTTCGCATCCACTCCAGCACACAGCCCTCGGGTTGCACGTACTTCCACAGGGCCGAGTTCCGGTTGCCGATGGTGGTCTCCAGGGTCACCTGTGGGAGAGCCGAGGGGGCGCTGCACGAAAGGGCCCCCTAACTCACAACCGGGGCATGGTGTCACCAAGTGGCAGCGCCGCATCAATCGTGGTTCAAATCTGTTGACTCGTTTTTTAAAACTTCATGTCCTGGCTTAGGTGCGTGTTCCTCACTAGTTCTTTGGATGAGCATTGAGGGGGTTCGTGATCGAGATCACGCATCCACCTTTGCCCTGGGAAACAGCCCCTAAGAGAGCCCAGGGTGTTGCTCCTACGGGACCCACTCCCCCTACCAAGTGGGTCAACTCTTTCCCCCAGAGAGATAGCATCCCATCTCTACCCCTTCCCTGCAGTTCTGCAGGGAAAGCTGGGAGGCTTGGGGTTGGTAGCCTGATGGACAATCTCCATCAACTCTTACAGCCCTCCGGGGGAAAACACAGCACTGCTATTAAGCCCCCTTCTTCTTGAAAGGTAAACTGAGGCCTGGAGAAGCTAAAAGACTTGCCAAAAGGTCATGGCCGCTACGTGGATGGGCCAAGATTTGACCGTCAGACTTCCAACTCTTAAATCGGGGCTTGCTCCCCTACAGCAGGATATTAGCATGCTTCTTCCTTTTTTATACGAAGCTGGAAAACAACTAAGAGACAGCAGTAGCCATAAATATGATGTTTCAAAGAGGAATGTGCAAAGCAAGCCTCTCAATAGCGATGCCCAGGTAGGAAGAGCTTCTCTACTCCCTCCACACTTGTACCCTCATCCCTCTAGTGTCCCACGTCATCGCCAGGATTCAGACCCGCATGGCCTCAGAAGCCCTGGAGGGCAGTTTCCTCTCTCTGCGCCAGGGGTTGTTCTCAACCTGGGGCAGTGCTCGGGGAGTCTGCAGACTTGGGTGGGGAAACATTACATCTTTATTTCCACTAATGTCAAACCGAAATGCAGCATCTCCTTCCACTGCTAATGAGGTGACACATGACAGTGTTATTAGCGGTAACTGAGATCGTCACCAACAGAAATCACAGATGTTTTCCCACCACAGGACAGGATTGCACACATCTCAAGATATCGTTTATGCTCCTCACTATTTGTAAATTATGGCAGGTAGCCCACCTGCGACTGGAGTTTCTTTCTGTTTTTGGCCACACCTTGTGGCATGAGGGATCTTAGTTCCCCGACCAGGGATCGAACCTGTGCCCCCTCCACTGGGAGCACGGAATCTTAACCACTGGACCACCAGGGAAGTTCCTGGAGTTTCTTATTTAACGTGCTAGTAAAGCAGCACATACAGGCGGACCCGAGAGAGATCGCGGGTTCTGTTCCGGACCACTGCAATGAAGCGAATACCACAAGAAAGCAAGTCACGTGGATTTTCTGATTTCCCAGTGCATATAAGAGTTATGATTCCACTATACTATAGTCTATTAAGTGTGCAATAGTATTATGTCTTAAAACCCAATGTACATACCTCAATTTAAAAATAGAAAAAAAAAATACAAAACAAAAAATCAATTACAATAGTCACATCAAAGATCACTGATCACAGATGACCATGATGAATATAATAATGAAAACCTTAAAATATTGTGAGAATTACCAGCATGTGACACAGAGACACAAAATGAGCAAATGTCGTTAGAAAAATGGTGCTGACAGACTTGCCCGATGCAGGGTTGTTACAAACCTTCAATTTGTAAAATCTGCAATATTTGCAAAGTTCAATAAAACGAGGTATACTTGTATATTACATTAAAAGTTTACTTATATAATATTTCGATAAATGCATGTCGATACACTTGGTTTCCTTTATAATCCCATATATGTTGGCTTGTGCATTTAAAAGCATTATTCTGAGAAGGGGTTCACGGCTCCCCAGACCGCCAAAGGAGTCTGTGGCGTAAAAATAGTTAAGAACCCAGATGGAAGGTAAATTTCCTTCCCGGACACTTTTTGTAACTGGATGAAACTATTTCAACTGTCCTTCCCCAGGCTTCACTCCTGCTTTCCCCACCCCAGACCGCAGCAAGGGGGTCCCCTCACCCACTGCCTGGCCCCTTTCATGCTTCTTCCCACATTTAAGGGAACTAAATCCCACGCTCCTCTCACAAAGTAATAGAAGAAAAAGAGCCCCTTCCTCTCCCCTCCCCAGAATTGGCATCTTCTGCATCTAGGATTTTTTTTTTTAAGTGATGTTTTTTCTCCTCTGCAGTGTTACCCTGGCGACTACAGGGCTTGCTGTGTCTAGAGGGGTGCCAGGAACAGATTTCTAAATGAGTTTGGAGCCCAGCCAGGAAAACCGATAAAAACAACACATTGTAAACAACATTTATTCAGAAAACCCAGCCAGGTTTAGAGGGGGTTTTGTGGAAAGCAAAAGGGAAGGCAGAAAGAGCAGAGTCATGGTAGGGAGAGAGATGGCTTGTCCTAAATACATAAACACAAAATGAGGTCACTGGGGCCACGGATATTTCAAAAGGGCCCAAACCAGGGATTTCTGAGGAGCTGCAGGACAATACAGAGTCCCAGGCCAGCTGCAGGGTCTGGTGGCCCGGGCGTGACCTGGGGAGCGACATTTTACAAGCGCTTCCTGGCCTCGGCCCTGGGGTGGTGGTGATGCGGGAATGGGGGAGTCTGCGTCCCCCTGCTGTGCCTAAGCTGCTGGGTGCAAAGCTGCCCCGGGGAGAAAAGTGACACCAGAGGATGACTCACCAGCCCGCTGCCCAGGATGTAGAAGTCATCACAGGAGAAAATGGTACCAGGGTAGGATGAGAAGATCACCCTGTTGCCGGGAGCCCGGGTAGATTGCTCTGCAGGCGGGAGAGTGAGCCCGGGGGGGGGGGGGGGGGGGGGAGGGGGCCTGGTCAGACAAGCACATACGGAGAACCCCACTCCCCCTCCCAGCAAGACTTGGGAGTCTCCAGGTGGAACAGCAGGCTTCAGAGAAAGCCCCTACTCCATTCTTTCTGAGAATCAGCAAACCAGGCCATTTGTGTAAAAGCTAGTAGCAATATATATACATACATACATATACATATATATATATATATATAATTGTCTTGATTACTGTACCTTTTTTTGGCTTGCTTTCTTTTTTTTTTTAATTGCAAAAACCTATTGTGAAAAAGCTAATTCACAGAGCAAATACCCAGGAAGTCTGAGAGCACGGACTTTGTTTTTTTGGGGGGTGGGGGGAGGGTTTATCCCCTGCTTTACTGAGGTATAACTGACAAACAAAAATTGTCTGTGTTTAAGGCGCACACTGTGATGTTTGGATAGGCGTAGATGCTGTGAAAGGATGGTCACAGTCAAGCTAATTTACACAGCCATCACTTCACATCGTTACCTCTGCTGTGTGTGTGGTGAAAACACTGAAGTTCCACTCTCTTGGCAAGTTTCAAGTATACAATACAGGGTTGTTAACTACAGCCACCATGCGGTGCTTTAGACGCCAGAATTCACTTGTCTTCTGACTGGGAGATGGTACTCTCTGACCAGCATCTCCCCATTTCCCCCTCCCCCCAGCCGCCTGCAACCACCATTCTACGCTCTGCTTATAACAGTTCAACTTTTTTTTTTTTTTTTGGCCGTACCACGCAGCTTGCGGGATCTTAATTCTCCAACCAGGAACTGAACCCGGGCCCGCAGCAGTGAAAGCACAGAGTCCTAACCACCAGACCGCCGGGGAATTGCCTCGAGTTCAACTTTTTTAGATTCTACATGAAAGTGAGATCATACAGTATTTGTCTTTCTCTGACTTATTTCACTTAGCATAATGGCCTCCAGGTTCACCCATGTTGTCGCAAATGGCAGGATTTCCTGCTTTTTTCAGTTGAATAATACTCCATTGTGTGTGTGTGTGTGTGTGTGTGTGTGTGTGTGTGTGTGTGTACGTGTACATTTTCTTTATCCATTTGTCTGGCTATGGACATTTACGTTGTTTCCATATCTCAGCTATGGTGAATACTGCAATGAACAGAGGAGTGCAGACACTTCCTCAAGATTTTATTTCCTGGAAGTGAGATGGATGGATCAGATGAGAGCACAGGCTTTGCGGGGAGGAGACCTGGGCAGAATCCCGGTTCAGGCCCTTATCAACTGTTTGATTTATGTCAAGTTACTTAGCCTTTCTGAGCCTCAGTTTCCTTATCTGCAAACTGGGAATAATAATCCTTCATCCCACACAGGGCAGTTGTAAAGATTTAATTTATAAGATCGTGGAGGTAGTTTCTAGCACAACAGTGGGTACCCAGTAGGCCTACAATCAAGGTTACTGCGTAACCAGACCAGCACTTGTCAAGGGATGGACTTTCGGTACAAAGTGTTCTGGGGTGGGGATGAGGGCCACTAGGGATGAGGGGATGGACCAAAGGAGCTATTTCTATATAACTGATGAATAGATAAAAGTAAAAAGGGCAAAGTCATCAATGAACAGCTAAAACTGGAAGGGAAAACAACCAACACCAATGGTGGTTTTTCAGGGGCTGGTGGCAGGGTGGGTTACAAGTGATTTTTATTCCTTCCTTGTGCTCTATTTTCTAACTTCCTACAGTGAACATGTATGACTTGATTAATTTGTTTTAATTATTGAAAATTAGTCTAGAATACAAAAAGAAATAACACAAATATCCATCAATAGATGGATGGATAAACAAACTGTAGTATCGCCACGCAGCGAAATATTAGGCAGTCGGAAAAAGGAATGAAGTGCTAACAGCTGCTACGACATGGAGAGGCCTTGAAATTATGACGCTGAGTCAAAGAAGCTAGTCGTAAGAAAACCACCATTGTATCTTTCCATTTTTATGGGATGTCCAGAACAGGTAAATCTACAGAGATAGGAAGTAGTGGTTGCCAGGGGCTGGGAGGAGGGGGAAAAGGGAGTGATTACTCAGTGGGTACAGGGTTTCCTCTCTTGGTGATGAAAACGTTTTGGAACTAGACTGAGTGGCAGTTGCACAACACTGTGAATGTACTAAATGCCACTGAATTGTTCACTTTAAAACAGTTAATTTTGTTATGTGAATTTCACCTCAATTAAATAAATAAATAAAACTAGAAAAAAAACCTTTTTTTTTTTTTTTTTTTGGCTGCACTGTGAGGTACGCAGGATCTTAGTTCCCTGACCAGGGATCAAACCTGTGCCCCCTGCAGTGGAAGTGCAGAGTCCTAACCACTGGACCGCCAGGGAATTCCCTTAGAAAATTTTTAAAAATTAGTGCAGGTTTATATGAAGTTCTAGAACAGGCAAATCTAACCTCATGGGAAAGAA